ATATACTTGCTGATGTTATTTCATATAATGGTTCATGTCATATCATTATGGGTAATGGTTCCTCAGTTCCCATCTCACATATTGGCATTGCCTCTGTTGCTTCGTCCATGAATTCCTTAAAAATGCCTAATGTTTTTCTTGCCCTTAATTTTCATAAAAATGTCATCTCTGCATCTCAATTTATTGGCCAATTTAAGTGTTCCGTCCTATTTATACTCGTTGCTCTTTTGGTGAAGGATCTTCGATTTGAAAAGCTAATCGTTAAAGGAAAACATCAGAGAAACTTCTATTTTCTTAAAAGTGAGTTGTTTGTTGATGTCCTAACCTCTACAAGAAGTCTTAGAGTCTTTGCAGAACTATGACATCACCGGTTAGCTCATATCAACTACGTGCTATAGTAGACCATTTGAATAAACTCAAGGCATGACCCTCTTTATGTAATAAAGTGCCAAGTAACATTATTTGTTCAGGCTATCAACTTGGAAAACATCACCAATTACCATTTTTTTAATACAAATAAATCTAGTTTTCACTTTCTTAAACTCATTCATACTGATTTATGAGGACCATCTGATGTTGCCTCCCTCTCTAGCTCTCACTATTATATTAGTTTTGTTAATGATTTCATCCTCTTTACATGGATATATTTTCTAAAATCCACATCTGAAACTCTTCAAGTTTTTCAGTCATTTAAAGAATTCAACGAGAAACACTATCAACTACAAATTAAATTCCTTCGTAATGATAATGGTAGTGACTTATGCTTAGATCCTTCTATAATACTCATGGTATCAAAGAATAGTTCTCTTGTCCTCATACACCTACTCAGAATGGTGTGGTAGAGCGAAAATACAGACACATAAATGAATTGGTGTTGTCTTTAATATTTCATAGTGGTATTTGTTATCAATCGTTGCCAAACTTTGCCAATTCAAACAACATGTCCCCTGTCAAATACCCACAGGAAAAATTTCCGTTTATTCAATTTTGAGTGCTTTTGATTGCATGTGTTATAATTATATTGATAAGTCCTTATGGCAAAAACTTTCTGCGAAGGCCGAAGAATGTGTGTTTGTTGGGTGTAGTAACGAGCATAAATGATATCGATGCTACTCTTTTGCTAGTAGAAAGATACATATTTCTCATCATGTGACCTTTAATGAGGGACAATTTTATAGGGTAAAAGAAATTTTGCAAGAATGATGACTCACAGCCTTTACTATCTTTAATTACATCGTCTGCAGCGGAGATGTTATCTGCTAGATCTCAATCATTGCCATAGATAATTAGGAGTCATTCATAGATGCAACTATTGGCCAAGTACCGAGTGATGGTGACAATGTTAATCCCTCCATAGAAAGTACTTCATGTACATCAACCCAGAATAATAAACCACGTCAGTCCTATAAAGGTGTTAAAACACAAAAGTTCTTTCAGATTGAGGATTGGGCATTATATGGTGAACACTCCCTTCTCATTGAACTCACTAAACAAACAAAATCAAGTACTTACAAAAGAGCCATCAAAAACCCTAAGTGGATTGAGGCCATGAATGAAGAATTGCTTGCTCTTCATCAAAACTACACTTGAGATTTGGTACATGGACAACAAAAAAAGAATGTTGTTGGATGTAGATAGGTTTATAAGATCAAATACAAGGCTGATGGCACTATTGAATTATACAAAGCGAGATTGGCTGCTAAAAGTCACATTCAAAATTATAGGTTGGACTATAAAGAAACCTTTAGTCAAACTGTGAAGATGAGAACTGTTAGATTAGCGTTAGCAATGGCTAATCTCTATGGTTATAGGTTACATCAGTTAAATGTAAGAAATGTCTCTTTGCATGGTGATATCTAAGAAGAAGTTTACATAGAGCAAGCATCGGGGTATAGAGAATTCAAAGGGTCTGATCTTGTGTGTAGATTAAAGACGGCGATATATGGTTTCAAACAAGCTCTACGAGCTTGATTTGAAAGCTTATGCAAAGCTCTCCTTACACGAGGTTATTCTCGAAGTATTATAGACAACTCCCTATTTATCAAAAAAGAATGACAAAATCTGGTGATGGTGCTCTCTATATTGATGACATTATAACAGGAAATGATGAGGATGAAATAAAGCAGCTAAAAATAATGTTCGAAGCATAATTTTCTATGAAGGATATTGGAAATCTAAAGTATTTCCTAGGTGTGGAAGTTGAGTGCACAAGAGAAGGTATGAGATTGACACATCACAAGTATGCATTGGATCTGTTAGAAGAATTTGGAATGAGTGGTTGTAAACCATCACCAATGCCAATGGTCATGACAAAAAAATTGTTTGCTAGAAATGGTGATCATGTTCAAGATCCAGAAAAGTATAGAACTCTTGTTGGTGGTCTGCACCACCTTACATTCACTCGACCAGATATCACCTATGTTGTCAATCAAGTATGTCAATTTATGCATGATCCTCATGAGATACACCTCAAAGCAACTAAAAGTATTCTCCGATATGTGAAGTGTACCTTGGGTGATAGTTTTTTCCTTTCTATTGGTAAAAGACAGGTTAACCTTATTGCCTATTTTGATGTTGACTGGGCTGGAGATCCCGATACAAGAAGATCAGTATCTGGATTCTGTATTTTTTTTTCTAGGTCTCTAGTATCTTGGAGTGGTAAAAAGCAGATGACTATTTCACACTCAAGTTCATAAGCAGAATATCAATCAATGTCTTCCATGGATGTCTTTTATGACTGTCAAATCACTTGGTATCACCACATTCTATCAGAATTGGGTATTAGAATTCAATATGCAATTCTTCGTTGTGATAATCGGAGTACAATAAAGCTTGTCTTTAATCTAGTTCTTTATATACGGGCCAAAAATTTGAAACTGGATTATATTTTATTCAAGAAAAGGGTTGAAAGTGGAGAGATTACTCCTGATTATGTTTCAACTACATAACAACTTACTGATATTTTTACAAAAGGTTTTCCTACATCACAACATCGTTTGATAGAAAACAAGTTGTCTATGTTTCACATTAACAATAGTTTGAGGGGGGAGTGACATGAATGATCTAGAAGGTACTATCTTGGAAAGGATTCTCATGATATATTGTAACCTCTTTTTGATGTAATCAAATCCTTGATTGAGTTAATAAAGGATTCTTACCGTATATATTGACTACAAAACTATTATAAATAAAACCCACATCCCTCTCTATGGATGTGAAAAATACAACACAAATATTATGTCGTGTAAATTTCTTCAAGACGTTCAAGTCTCACTTTAAAAAATTCCCTCAAATCAAAGACATCCCTAGTGATACTATGTTCAGATGCTTGAGGCCTTATTGTCACAACTTTAGTGATACGATGTTTCGGAGAAATGATTTTCCTTGTCATTTTGGCCCTAATAGAGAAATAAGTTCATAGAGAATTGAGTTCCTGAACCAGTCATAAAATCGCTATGCTCCGGCAGGAGCCGGCCAAAAAGTTACTTTAAAGGATTTCTTGCACTTGAAATTTTAAATGATTTCTTTAGACTTGAAAATTTGAGATCCATCTAATAATCGATAGATAGTTATTTTCAAAAAAGAAGAATCTTCAGTTATGCAACTTTTACATCTCCCGTTCAAAAAATCGGACAGGATTTATTCAATCCTAAGTTATTTTTCAAGCACATATAGACTGCAATTAGAAATTTTGGATGACCCTCATTCAATCTAGAGGTTTTATTTTTGAGAAACTATCAATTAAAATGGGTTGAGTTACAAAATCATTGAAGGGTTTAAAAGATCACAAATTACATTTGGGGATTTAATTTTAAAGTGGTATATCAATCGAATACGTCCTCGAAAAAACCTATTGATGTTAGGGAACCTGAAGAATTAGACGTGCTTTGTTAATTTAACCCCCAAGGATGCCTTACATAAGTATAAATGTAACCCCATCCTTTTTAGAGTTAGAATTTACAAACAGCTTGTTTGGTATTTGAAATGAGGAATAATAACGAGTACTTACATCATTTGACATTGTTAAGGCAAATACCCGGTATTATTCCTCTTATTTCAAATATATAACAAGTTCTAACGCCGAACAAGTGAAAATATTTCTATCATTCTATTAAGACCTTTTTGGGCATAAAATTATCGAAGTGCCCCTAATTCCCAACACTGAATAGAGACCATTTGAAAACTCTTTATTATTTTTCAAAGATATACCTTTATTGATATAAAAATTTAAAAACAAACTCTCAAATTTAATTTTTTATCATTTGACCCTTTCAGTGATTTTGTAATTCATATTTTTTGCTATATTTTTTCAAGCATATTTTGAATTTCTTTTTTTCTTTTTCTTTTTTGTAAATTTTTTCTGGTTGGAGGCAAGTCGCCAAGTTGAAGAGATTACATCCAAAAATTGGACTCCCAAAAATGGGGTCCCAAAAGTGCTTCTAGATTGGTTCATTCCCAAGATTACATAGATAATATGCTCTTCCAAGAGCGTGGCTTATCTAAAATTATAGTGCTGACTAGTTCCACCAATAACAAATAGGGAAAAGCTTTCTATGCTCTTCCTACAACATAGAAGCTCTATCTTCCCCTTATCCAACCGACCGTCTATTTTTTAATATAAGGCTAATATTGCCCCAATGACAATGTCACGTCTCTACAATGTCTTATTTTTAATTGTTTTTCTATAAATTATTTTGACACCAAATTTTAACAATCCATTCCTCTATTAAACTCGCACAACAAAAAATATAAAAAAATATTTTCAATAAAATAAAATGATCAAAGTACCCTTGAAAGTTTCAAGGGGTACTTTGGTCATTATTTTTTATCGAAAAATTATTATTAATATTTTTTATAGGTGCGCCCCAATGAGAAGATGACACGCACCAAATTTCATATTCAGAAAATTTGTTTTAAAAAACTAAAAATAAAATACTTTGAGATGTCAGATCTAAGATCAAATGGTGTGTGACTCTCTTGATAAAAAATGGACGGCTGGATGGTAAAAAGAGGATAGAACTTCTATATTGTAGGAGGAATATAGAAAGCTATCCCAACAAATAGTACTCAGGTGGTGGCAGAGTATCTTATACAATGTTGCGGTAATATTACAGCTATGTAGAGGAAGGAGCCAGCTCCTTTAAAAATCACACCTCACCCTAATTATTTGTCAGAGAACTAAAAAATAAAAAAATTAAATTAAGAGATCTAGAGGGTTTCAAACCTAAAAATTAAAGCTCAACATGAAGAGCACTGGATCCCTTGGCCACAGAGTTTGATCCCAAAAAAGCCCCAGCTGTTCAAAATCGCTACACGGTGCATTCTCAATCGAAGAAGAAGCATAGAAAGGGCAACAAACTACATTCATTTCTCAAGAGATCTTTCTTCCTTTAGTTTGGCCATCGCTATTTGCTGTGCAAAAAACTGTTTTTCTTGAGCTTCCTTTGCAGCAGCTTCCTCATCAAACAATTGGATGGGTGCCCATTCAGGCCATCTCAGCCATTTATCCTTCTTCTCACCCGATTGTTGAACTGACGGTTCTGATGAGAGAGAATCTTGGGAGCTCTCCAAGTAAGACTTAAGCTGATTAGCTCCATAATCCAGTGCAGTACCAGCAAATGCAAATATGATTGAATAGCGAACAGCACCAAACTGGCCACCTGTAGTGATACTTTTTAGATTTATAAACCCCACATGCCGTGCCAATATGCTTATCTTTTTCAAAGAAAGAAATGCAATATGATCAAAGAAAGAAAGAATGAAGCGTTAGATATGCCAATCGGAATAAAATGAAGAAAAACCAAGACCTTGAAGTCGACCAAGAAATGCTCCACTGGCAATGCCTCCTATAAAGGAGTTGGTAAGGTCACCAGATTCAGCAGCTCGGAGTTCTCGCACAAGTTCACGTGATCCTGTAAAAACAGGAAGCTGTTTGAATTAGTGGGCAATATAGTGTGAATGCAGCAAGCTGTTTAAATTAGTGGTCAACTTACTCATTAGCATTTAGCAAATAGCCAGAAATCATGGTGGCAGTACATCTTTGGGAAGCGAATATTGTATACAATATGACCATTTACTTTCTATACAAGTTGGTCACAGTTCCTTACAACCATTTGATGTAAAATTTGATAGCTTGGATGTGTCACAAAGTTCGAGAAAATTTCTTTTGAAGTTTGAGTTTGGTCAATGGAATAATTGCAGCCACCCAACTTTACATCCAATGGTCAAGACTATTGTGACCACCTTGTATAAAAAGTAAATGGTCTCATTCTATACTTTCCCTATTAGAATAGGCCTATCCAGTCATTCGTTTTTCCATGAGGGCAGTCAGATGAATAGAGTCAGCTTACATCTCACATAATACATGCACTTGGTAATTGAATAATGCAACTCATGACCCTAGATCTTCTGTTTTCAGGTTAATTACTTACCCTTGGTTTTTTTCAATTATTTTAGATGGTTCCGTTTCCAAGCATTAACTATCAACCACCTGGTACATTTTTGCAGCAGCTCTACGGCCCTATTTTGCAATTCTCTGACCTTGTCATTCATATAGCTATGATACAACACCTTTGGAGTTAATAGTGTATTGACAAGAGAGTAGAATCACTGAGATTATTACTACAGGGGACTCTTCATAAGATTTAATGGAAGGCTGGAAGGGCAGGAAAAAAAAATCTTCAAAGAGAAACCTTCTTCTATGGATGGTCATGAATAACTTTAGAAGTGGTAACCCAAAAAAATAACAGATAAATCAATTGAAAGGAAAACATCCATAAGTAACATATCCTTCCAACTTTGAGCTGTTCTGCTGTGCAAACTAGTAAGAGTTCATAATCAAGTCTAATAATTTGAAGATATTATTGGGAAATCCCTCAAGCATCGATTATAAACCCTTACACATGCTTAAAAATGAAATGGTATCTGCCTATCTGGCAATGCAGTCATAATTGCCTAAATTGACAAGGCCAAATTCCACAGCAGATTTTTCTTTTTCAATTTTTTTTTTTTAGAGAAGATACTCCTTTGTTATTAGTCAGGATTAGATGGGCTGATCTCTATTCCCTCATTCGAAGTAAAGAGACTTTCCAACTTGTCACATGGGCACAACCAAAATCAACATCATCGCAGCTTGAGGGTGAGTGCTATGTTGCACATTGGGTATATTGGCCATCATAAGTTGTGTCTCATCTGCTTTTTAATTCCTTTGTACCATTTGAGTCTTTTGGTTCTTCAACCTTAATCATGTACCTTATCCACAATCACGACTTTCAAATTGACCACTAAGTTACTTCAAAAATAAATAATCAAATAAATAAAGAAGCAGAATGTGTATACATCAAGTTCAGAGACCAATACAATATCCGATCATTTTCTCACACATCTTCCTCAGAAATATACGTAGAACAGATCATCCTTATATCATTCTTTTGGAATGTTCCTAGGCTGTCAATTTGAAGCCAGTTCCTCCCACTTGACTGTCAAGACTCTGGAGTCATTGAGGTAGCAAACACATTAACAACTTGGCAGTGACCTGAGTGCATCTGGTTTAACGGCAAATTTTTTATTAAAGAAGGGTTGTTTTGATACAGTTTCCTTATGGGTATTGTTTCCACTGAATTCTCATGTAGTAATGTAAACGTAAGGCTCATTAACAGTAGGGTAATTATGGGTAAAAAGTGGCCAAATATAAGAATGAGTAAATTGGGAGAGATGGAAACCTATAAAGATGCTCCACGTGTAGACATTTTTCTTCAGCAACCCTGCTGAACTATCCAGACAAAAATATTTGCTGTTTCCACATGTGGTTGTACTAATCATTAGAACCTGCTCGTTATTTCACATCTCACCAAATTGAGAAGCATCTAATGCTCATTCTTCATCAGATGCCAGTGGTAGGATACCTTTCAAACATAAACTATCTGCAAACTCCATAACAACCGACTCAAGAAACATAGAAGCTTTCCACAAAAAAAAAAAAAAATACAAGTATTAAAAAAAAAGTAAAAAAAAAAAAAAAATTCCAAATGACATGACCGCAGCCCCTGGAGTTAGTCTCAAATCAGCACCTAGTCATCTTGAAAAACATAGATTATCGATATCACCAGTGCAACTTCCCACACAATGATGGTGTATGTATGACATGTCTATACTAGTAGAAAAACACGTAAAGGCACATGAAAATACACAAAGATTATAAGGAGATAGATAATAATTGAATCACCGTGGATGTAAAGGATACTCTTCTCAAAATATTAATGGGTCACGTTTTTAATAATTGGTAACTGATTCTCATTAAAATACACTTGAAAATGATACACAAGATGTGAGGTTTAAAATTAGCTCTGCACAGATGACTCAATACAAATAAAAACGAGCCTATGTGCACTCAACTGTCAGGCTATACAATTAACTCGATGGCTAAATAAATAAATATAAATGTTCTTCTCTACAAACAGTTACAGTATAGACCATGAATGGCAATCCACAACTCAATTCACTGATCTGAAACAGCCCATATTATAACTTACAAATGACATAGTAATCCACTGACGTGTTCTAAACAACAAATTAGTAGATTATCATATTTGTTGACTTGAACCACGAAGAGAAACATCCCTCAATTTATATTCCCAAGCTTTTTCAAGCAATGGAATTTTGAGAATTGATCCTCTGCATGCGCAAAAATGACACCAGCAACAATGAAATATGCAGATCAAGCTTTTTATTTTTTCCATTGTCTTTTTACTTCAAGGGACTGTTTCCAGTGGTGAAGCTTTCACATGGTATGAAGACAGCTAATCATTTTTGACAGCAAAACTACATTGTCTATCAACATGATCAGTGCCTATGTACTGTGAAAACCTTTGGATCATATGCAACATGTAAATAAGTAATCAAGGCTAGATCATCCCCACAATCTACTATCAGCATTCAAATGTAATATAGATTGAAGAAATGAGCATGGCATTCGTCAAGGGTACTCTGAAAGTCCATGAGTGCAAATTCGCTAATAAGCACAAGAAGGGCACGGGCACGAGACAAAGTTGATTTCCTTCTCGCGTTCTCCCAAGCAAAACAAAAATAGTCTTACAAAGTTATGAACCAATAGAAGTAAATACGTTGGCAGATGGCTGAAACAGTTCACTTTCTGAAGGCATAAACATTTCATCTGAGTGTCTGTTCTGGGTAAGCCAAAGCTTAAATCGAAGACCTTTTCAAGATCTATGACCCCTATCTCTAAGGGTTTACTGTAATTTGGACAGTTTGAGTTTCAGATTATGGTTGAAAACCTGCTTAAAGAAGAAGTGACGATGTTATTTTCCTGTGTGTTAGGTTTCTGTCTTTCCTTCGAGTCCTCTAAACCATCCTAGGGTAGGGAGCCTAGGTAATATTCTAGAAACATCAACCTTCTAGGATAATGTGGACCATTGGGAGTTTTCAAATTTTAGCAAGTTATTTCTTTCCTTGTTTTACAATATAAGTTATTTTCCTACTTTTGCTGAAGAGGCTCAATATTATTTTCATATTACTGTAAGGAACTACTTTTGTAAAACTATAAAGGAACTACCTACCTCATTTTGAAAGATTCTAGAAGATAAGGAAGTTTAAGAAGTTAGAGATAGCTTGAGTCCCAAGCTAAGCCTACAGGCTAATTCAATTTAAATTTAGTTATAAATTTTGGGTTATCAATAGTGGTGAAAGGCAACTTTAGAGGGGAGATTCTTTAATTCTTTCTGTAGAGGGAGAGGGCTATAGTATTAAGAGAGTCCCTCCCTAAAGGTAGGGCTGCACCTAACAAGGACCCGACCAAGTCTGCTTGGCATTTATAACTGTGTGTATGTCTGGGCCCCTTAGGGATGCACCTAACAAGGACCCGACCAAGTCTGCTTGGCATCTATAAGTGTGTGTATGTCTGGGCTGGACCCAGACCTCTGGGATGTTAGACCTGGACCCAACCCACCAGAGCCAGGTTATGGGTCCAGACCTGGACCCGAGCCAGCCGAACTGGCGCTGAGTCGACCTGACCTGATTTGTACCCCTGGGTAAAGGTTAGAGCCTTGTGTTCGTTTGGTGGAGAGATTCCTCCAAACCCCTGGCTCGTGGTTCGGAGGTTCTCCCCATGTAAAGTTTTGGCTACTTCATCTTTTCCTCCTGTGTGGCACTCCCATTAAGATTCCCTCAAGGCCTCAACCAAGTTCATCACCCTATTTCTATCCCATCATATCAACTTTTCCAAGCCCTAATAATTTAGCCCAACTCCTTTCCAAACCTATCCCTCATATCACTAAGCCAACCAACCTTAGTCATAATGTCACCTCATTCCCTTTGAATCTATTAATTACCCTTGACAGACCTGAAATTTTCCAGCAACTTCACTACACTAAACACCACATAAACCTAGCCGTAATTGTTGACATAATCATATCTAACCCTTCCCTATTACCTTATCTTCAATTATACCCAATTTAGACCTTAAATTCCCAAACCCTATTCCAACAGGGAGACTCTGATACCCCCAAACCCTGCTACCCCATTACCTTTTTATGCCCATATGGTGTGTCACATTTGTGTAGGAGCCAACCCCCCTTGGTCCTACATCTATGAACTTGTCAAAAAGGACATGGTAGTAGACAGGTCGGCAAATTTGGGTGTAATGAGGGCAAATTGGGAACACAGTATTTTTTTTACACCAGATATGCTCTCCAATTTGATTTGTTTCTATTCCTTGTAGACTTCCAGTTCAATAACGTACTCCTCTTTTTTTGTTTTTTTTTTTTGGAGATGTTAACAGGCACGGTAGGTAGGCAGGGAACCCATGATGTCATGTTATGGCTATGCCAGCCAGGCCTATAACTAGTTCAATAAAATATTTCAATGTTTACAAAAGAAACTTTAGGAAAAGAAGTATATGAAACACAATTACGCTCCCTAAATCATAGTTTTATTATCATACGCATGTTTAATCTTAGCGAATGAAAATGGAAAACAAAAGTCATGCTTCCAAAGTTCTTGTTTTGAAAGTCATTGGCATTGGACAGTGGGATGTCAAGTGCTAACCGCGAAGTACAGCGAAAAGAGTTTGTTCAAAAAGTTAAAACTGTTACATCTCAGTTTTATATCCCTGCAAATAAGCCATTTTTGGGAACAAATATGATTTGTCAAATATCAAGCTTAAAAGCCCAATCCCTGCAAATATGCCATTTTTGCGAAAAAATATGAATTACTTGTACCATAAATCTGAATGATGAAATATTGAAACCAAAAACAGACAAGAACAGCTTAAGTAATACCCAAAAAAGGGCTTCACAATGCATCACCAAATATCTCAAGAATGGGGACTGCGGCAATTTATCCATAACATAGCAACAAGAAATATGTACACACTGAAAAGACATACCGCAGTAGCATCCGGTAACAATGGCCAGATTAGCAGCATATGTGGCAGACAAGTTAACAGTACCATACGTCTTCCTACTCAGTAAACCATATCCCCCACCAAGAGCCCCTACAATCTCAATATGAGGAGATCAGATTTTTAGATATATAAATAACAGACATGTTACACTTCTTTCAGCCAGGTACGCCTTAGCTATAATGAAATACATGCATATACCAAATCAATAAACTCTTTGTAGGTGTTTTGGCTTAGACTGAGCTGATTGTTACAAGAGAGAGGGCCACATTCTAGTTATGAGAGAGAAACAAGTTTGCTTTAAACAAGCATGACAATGAAAATGTACCAATTATGCTTACAACCAACAACCTAAACATTCAATCAAGCTAAGACTAGAAATAACTATATATTAATTTATCTGAGCCCAAATAATAGGTAAATCACAAAATAAGTATAATTATTGAATAAAACAAACATCATAAAATATCTATCCACTGATCATTGAATCATCTTCTCCAGGAAACTCATAACTGTCATGTCTGTGAGCAGGGAACCCCATGGTAGAGAATGCCCACCTCTACTATCCAAAAATCGATTCAAGGAAATTGTGAATTATAGGGCTGATGTCACCGGTAAAACCTCTTCAGTAGTGAAATGACCAATTACTCCAAGAGTTTCTTTAATTTATAAAAACTTACTGAATTATGCCGTGACTGTAACAGAGCATGTCTTTCCCACAAACCATATGGACTTATATAGCTTCAGAAATTGGGAACTCCTATGAACGACTAACATAATACAGGGAGCTTTTGTAACCAGGGCGGAAGCAGTTAGGGTTAATAATCCTAATCATATAAAAGATTTTTTGGATCTTCCAGTGAATTATCAAATACTAACACCACTCCTCTCGAGTGGGTACCGTAATGCATAGGAGCAGAGAGTGCAGAAAGAAGGCAAGGAACCGTTAAATATCAGTTGAGTATAGAGGTCCCAAAACAAAATGCTACTTACAACATTGTCAACAATCAAGAAATGCTATGTCAAGCTTAGAGACGCCATACCCATGACTTCAATAATTTGAATTAGGTGCACAAATTAAGGGAAATAAAAGCCCCTAGTGCACAAATTAGGACTACTTATAGCATCTAAGATGACATCATAAGCCCCCTGATGAAAATTCAGTCCATTTTAGAGACGATAGCCATTTAACACCTTCCTATCAAAAAGATAAATAGAATAATAAGTAGGCCAATTTTAAAAACTTAAAATTCTTCGAGCCTTAGCTAACTCTTGAATCAAGTCGAATCAGTGAGTCTTGTTTTACAAACTCGAATATTCTTGAGAATATTTACTGTTTTCAATAGGATTCAGTAGGACTTGGACAAGACATGACTTGGATTTGGGACTCGGGACCCTCTGATGTCCTTCTATATGATTCACCGAGTCGTTAAAATACTCGCCTGAGCTTTTTGAAAGTGATTTTTTACAGGAAGACAGTGCAACCTCCCTAAGCCAGGTGGACTCAGGCAAGTCTAGAGTTTAACAGGCCAGTTTTTCTAACACTAAAGTAAACATTTCAATCCCACTCATAATCTATTTGATAGGACCCAAGGTTAGCCAACAGATTATAGTTGTCTCAGTAAAAAAGAGACTAAACTTTGTCAGTCCATACTCAATTGTCATGACAATGATGGGAATCATCTGTCTTGAATGCAACACTCAAAGGTACGTAAGAGATTGCATATGAGTTTCTTTAAATGTGTTAGGATTCAATTTACTTTGGAGTGTCAAGACATGGTCTGGGACAAATATGATTGGTTTACCTAAATTTCGGTTTGTGGCCTTTCTCTTTTCTTTTCTTTTTTAAGTTGCATTGTGGGTTGTGGTGGGTTCCAACAACAGGCCTCTCGACATCTGTTATGTATGCTATTTCCTTGAGATGATCATTATGGTTTTCAGTGGTTATCCTAGGTCCTAAGGTTATTACCTTTATATTCAGAGAAAGTGTAGGTATTATTAGCTCCACCAACTTATATTCATGGATCATCTTGTTTCCAATAAGGAATTATTACTAACTTTAAATGAACAAGTCAACTCATCCTTAAAACAAGGAAATGCTTGCCTAATCCAAACAGCCAGACATAGTCTTTCATCAGGATTTCATACCAGGTAAATCATGCACTAAATACAAATAGCAGTCATTGCAATTCATTCATTAAATAATCCAAACAACTTTACATTTCAAGGAATTCCCAGCAAACAACAGATCCATCCTAGTCAATGGCTTTTTCTGTTTTCTGAATTTGTTTTAATGCTATGTACCAAATTACAGAGGTCCTCAGGCACAATCTTAAGTTACTGGGTAGTTCCAAGCAATCAGTGTTTTTTCTCAATGACATTCAGTTATTTCTCATTTGCTGCGTGAGTTATTTCACTGTAGGTCGAAGAATTTTAGCCACTATGCTTCTAATATTCAGCCCAAGGCTTTCTCAATAAGCTGATTTTCACAAGAAATTACTCTAACTTCAGACATAATACCAGAATAAATGCTATCTTATCAAACTAAGAACCCAACTAAACTCCACTATTTTTTTGAGGAAAAGTTAAACTCCAATATTTCCACCAAGATAAACCTCATCCTCATTCAAAACAAGAAGGAGCTAGCTATAATCAGATTCTGGACCTAAATTAACATAAGTTCATCAATAAACACCCAAGCAATAACCCATGCACAGTACTGAAAACCCTAGAAACTCATCAGGCAATACTCAATGACCAGCGAGCTGGTGACAATCAGGAAGGAAGAATTCCTGTCAACAGAAACCAGGTAAGAGGAAAAGTAATGGCTTTCGAAGTAGGGTTAGATGAAGCAAGGGATGATAGTGAATTAGAGAATTATGGAAACCCGGACCACCTTATAGCCTATCAATACAGAGAGAGAGAGAGAGAAAGAGAGAGCGAGAGAGAGCAGTAGTACCTGCAACAATGGTGGGTAGAGCAATGCGTTGTTGCCAACCTTGTGAAGAAGAGGTTCTTCTCCGCCTCCGTGCGATCAAATCCTCCCCGTCTGAACCCATTCTTTTTCCTTCTTCTCGCCACCAAAAGCAAAATTTGGGGAGAGTGTCACTCCCAATTCTCCAGTTTCGTTTTGGGTGACTTGCTTGCTCATATAGGAAAAATTTAACCGGCACGGTTAAACCGGCCCGAAAGCATTCCAACTTTCTAACCGGGCAAGTCCTGGATGTTAGAAAGAGTATTAAAAATAAGATAAAAAAAGGAAAACAAATCTCCTTATACCGTATTTTTAACTTCTATTATATCTCATATATAAGTAAGATATTTCTACTTTTTCTTTTTTTTAACCTTCCAACCCCCGGACCTTTTGATCATAAAAATAACTCATCTTTTTTATCTTATAACCTTTGATCCCTTGGACCTTAAAGTCTTTACCAAAAAACAAAAGACACCCTATCAAAACTTTTGTTGTCCCTCTCAAAACTCCATGTCTCTATCTCTCTCTCTAAAACCCAAAATTGCACAAAAATTTCCTATCTACATCGTCTCTCTTTCTCCTCTCTCTCTCTCTCTAAAAATTATCTAGCTTCTTTCCCCTAAAACTCGACTTTTCCTCTCTCTCTAAAACTCAGCTGGTTGGCCATGGAATCCCTGTCCATCTAGAGCTTGGGCCAGGTTAAACCCCATAAATGGCAATGTATTGGTTGCAGGATTTATGGCTGGTGGTGCATTGAGGTTTTCATCGACCAAGCCAGTTCCTTGGAGGAAGTCCTCTAGAGTCATAGCCACTCCTGAGTTTGAACCAGGGGCTCCATCGAAAGAAGTGTAAGCACCCTTGAAGAACTCATCAATATTCATGGTGGTCAAGGGTTTTGAGAGGTCACCACCATGGCTCTGCAGCTCCTCTGGGGCAAGATTGAGGATGGAGCTCTGCCTCGCAAGAGGCTGAAACTGGTGCAATGTCGCCTCATACGCCATTCAACAAACCTCAAACCGTAAAATATAACATTAAAACCAAGGAGAAAAATCAGCATAACCCTAAAATTCTCAAACCATAAAGAAGAACAGATTAAACGAAACAGATAATAAAGATCAATCAAAACCATTAGAAAAAGAAAATAAAAAAAAATGAGAAGATTGAACCACCCAAGTGCATTTTCGATCGATATTCATTGCCATCAGTGAATTTTCCGGTGACCCTCTTGTTTTTCCTGCTGTTAATGGTGGTTCCTTGACCTTGCCTCTCGATTCTTTCTTTTTAAGGCAAATTTTCAACCCCCAACATGAGCGAAGAAGGAGAAATGAATCCTCATCAGAGTGCACCATCATTTCTTCAAATGATATTAGAAAATGGCAAAAACTCTCAGAGAAATGGAGTCGAAAAGGAAGAGAGAGAAAGTTTTAGGGTTCTGTAGGAGGGGAGGCTTGGGCCCAAAACCAGAGAGACAGAGCTTCGACTAGGTCCTCCTGGTGATTACCAGGCCCTCAATTGTCCATCTTCAGTTTCCAAATATGGCAGTTTTTGTGGAACAAAACGTGGTTTTCAAGAGACTGTAGCATCAAAACCTGCAACTAGTGAGAGAAACCAGAAGTTTTCAGGCCAAGAAACAGGGCTACTTCGGCAACAACCAGCTTTCTCTCTCTACCAAAAATCACTTCACCAAAAAAACCTCAACTCTTCTTCCATCAAAACAGCCCTCGCCATCGATTTTAGTGAGAGAAACTGCAAGCCCAAAAATGGAAACACAAAAGAGAGATGAGAGAAAAACTGCTCTATGCTCGTCCTCTGCTCCATCCAATCTCAACAAACCAAGTATGGGGAGCTTTGAACAGAGATAATTTTTTAGAGAGTGTGATGAAAAGTAGCATGGGATTAAATTTTAGGGTGTGATTTTAGTGATTGTTTAGGTAAAAATAAAAGGATATTTTTATCATAAAAATATATAGAAGTTAAAAATAGGGAATAAAAGGATATTTTTTTAATATATATATATAAATAATATAATAAAATATAATAAAATATATATAGAGAATGATTAAACAAAATATATCTGAAGTTAAAAATTAATAAAAAAAATAGATTTTAAAGAATTGAATTGTGTCCGAGAGAGTATTTGTGAAATTTTCTAAAAAAAATGATGAGAAAATATAAAATAAATATTAATGACTAAAACTATTTCCAATCTTTGTCATAAGGATAAAAAATTTTAAAAAATATTACAAATAAATTATTTTTTTAAAAATTTTATATAATTTTTTTTTTTAAAAAAAAAATACCCGGCTAGTCATCAAATTTGGTCGAACTAGCTTAGTGAACAGTTCCGATCTAACTGCCAGTTGTCGGTTAGACCACCCGATTTTTCTTTCAATGGTTCATCCTTCATAGTTTGTAATACCATAATTGTTTTCAAATATCCCTATTAGAGATTTGAATACCCGAAAGACCAATTTAACCGATCACCGAATATCATACACTGAATACCGAATATGTAAAATCGATAATTTAATAATAAATTCAAGGATCGTGTACAATAATTTAGAAAAAATAAATTAGAGATGAAAACATAATTATGAGAGAAAATTAGAGAGAAACAAACCACAACACAAATTCAATGGGGTTCACTCCATAGTGCTACATCCACGGGGCAAGCCAGCAAGTAATTCCACTATTAAAAGAAAAATTTACAAGAAGATACAATGTTACCTCAATGAAGAAAATTAATGAAATCCTTCACCAAAATACCTTCATTGTAATCACCCAAAATTACGATGTACCCTGTGTTTCATTTCGAATGGTTCTAGGACATGAGCAATACAAGCGCATACAATTTCTAAAAAAAATAGACAAGAAATACTTATTCACCTCTTTCTCTTTCTCACACAACTAAGAGAGTCTTAACCCCTTTCTAGAGAGAGAAGAGTAAACCCAAAGAAGAGTAAATCATGTCTACCAAAAAATCTCCTTTTTAGCTTTTATACAAGTCACTTAATTTAGTGACAAAAAAGCCCCCAAACAAAAGGTAAAAGACAAATACATTTAGGTGATTTTCTATCATCATTCAACAATCTCCACCTTGATAGCCAATCACATACTTGCCTTGCTAATAATCCACTTTTTACCTTTTATTCAAGTCTAAACAAGTTAGGCTCCATTCCAACTTATTTATTGGAACCATCTTCATGAGTATATCAGATATATTTTCATTAGTTCCAACTTTCACCAACCGAACCAAACTTCTCTACAAGAACCGTTTTCATGAGCCTATTTGGAACTGTATATTATTCAAGCTTAACAAGTTAGGCTCCGTTCCAACTTCTCTACCGGAACCGTCTTTGTGAGTATATTTGCTACATTTTCCTTGGTTCCAACTTTCACCAACAGAACCAAACGATCTTCAACAACTTATCGAACATAATGGTATCAGACTAATATATGATTCGTCCTCTTATGATAAACAAGATTCTTAACCCAATTAATGGCACTCTTATTATCACAAAGTCTTTATATGGGCTTAGACTTGATATCCAATTCTCTCATAAGGCCTTGAAGCCAAACTGTTTTTTTGCTTGTTTCGGTCACTGTTGTTTGTTTCGCCTCTGTAGTAGACAATGTCACTGTTGATTGAAGCTCTTACTGGTCCATTTGCAAACTTGAAAACATACCCAGTATGTAGAATTTGTAATAAAAGAAATGTAGATGAAAGAGAGAGAAAAGAATCAGCAAGATGTATGTGGTTCGACAATTACATCCACGGAGAGTAAACCAGATTCTCATTCATAGGGATTATTGTGGTTTACCAGAGATTTATAGAATTATAACTCTTGCTTTTTAGGTAACAAATCCCATTACAATTGTAATCCCACAAAATAAGAAACTCAATAAAGTCAATATATATCAATATTTGATAACTGCCAATCAATATATATCCTCAATATTTGATAACTGCCAATCAATATATATCCTCAATATTTGATAATTGCCAATCAATATATATCCTCAATAGTTGATAACTGTAAAACACTCTCCTCAAGTTGGTGTGTAGATATCAATGGAGCCCAACTTGAACAGTATCTGATGGAACTTTATCTTTGCAATAACTTTGGTAAACTTGTCTACAAGTTGATTTTCACTTCGAACATAAGGAGTACTAATAATTTTTTATTGAACATTATTTCTTACAAAGTGACAATCAATTTCTATGTGCTTAGTTCTTTCATGAAAACTGGATTAGAGGCTATATGCATAGCTACTTGATTATCACAAAAGATCTCCATTTGATTGACCATTGGAAACCCCATATCTCGAAGTAGGCATTTATCCACATCAATTCACTTGTAGTTGAAGTCATAGTTCTATATTCGACTTTTGAACTAGATCGAGTAACTACATTTTGTTTCTTATTTTTCTAAGTAACCAAAATTCCTCCAATTAGTGTACAATAGCCGATAGTTGACGTCTTGTCGATTCGACTACCTGCCTAATCAGCATTAAAATAACTAATAATATTAGTATGACCATTCGGTTTCAACCAAACACCTATGTCGAGTGATGACTTAAGATATCTGAGAATCCTATTGACAACCTCCATATGACATGATCTAGGAGCATGCATAAATTGGCTCACAAGACTAACCACATACATTATATATGGTCGTGTCACAGTCAAATAAATCAATATGTCCACAAGTCTCTGACAGTAGCCCACTTCTTCAAGAGGTTTTTCATTTCTTGAATTAAGTTTGCAATTAATATTAACAGGAGTGTCAACCGGTTTGACTCATAGTTTCCCAGTTTCTTTCAATATATCTAATACATATTTCATTTGAGAAATGAAGAATCCCTTTTTTGAATGTGCTACTTCAATACCAAGAAAATACTTTAGTTGACCAAGATCTTTGATGTCAAATTTTTGGTGAAAATAATTTTTAAGTTTCATGATGCTTTTTTTTATCATTTCCTGTAATGATAATATCATCAACATAAATGAGTATAATTGTTGTACCTGAAGTTCCCTTTTTTGTGAACATTGAAGAATCAATCGAACTTCTAAGAAACCCGACACTCGTCAAGGCTGTGCTAAGTTTGACATAACATGCACGAGGTGAATGTTTAGATCCATACAAAGCTTTTTTTAATTTGCATACAAGACATTTCTCCTTTTCTTTAAA